GAAGTCAATGTAAGAACATCAATGCTAGAATCTTAAAGGGAAAAGTTCAAGTTCTCCAAGAGACGTTTCCTTAAGTCTAAAAAGAACTTAATTAAGCAGTTAGCTCCAATTTAACTTCCAAGTTTTGGACCATACCTTATCACTTATTGACTTGGTCAATCGTTTCAAGGCTTCCGATTCACCGCCTCTAAAAGGAGTCCATTCAGCCTACAGGCATTTACACCAGCATAAGTTTCCCAGATGGAAATGTTTTAAGATACTTTAAGAAACGAGATCATCTCTTAACTTGTTCATTGTCTCTGTAGCCAAGTTCCTCAAGGGTTTGTACTTCTGAAACGCCGAGATTTCCAACATCTCCAATTGGAGGAAGTGAAGAATAAGACATAACAAGTTCTGATTTAGCAAATGAAGGCTCCCCAGCAATCTTGAGAAACGACTGATAACTCAAAGGTGGCTTCCCACCGTTCTTCCTTGCAAGAAAAACCACAAACATAATCCAAACTATTCACATTTCCATAGCGGAAAATCTAAAATAAACTCGGTTAAAACTACCGCATTTAGCGCTTACTTTCTCTATAATGTATGAGGGATTGAACAGAGTATGGCTCACAGGAGAGAAAACCTCAACTCCAGTTGAAGAAGCATAATCCTTTACAGATAAAATCACTCGAGTTAGCTAAAAACCTCAATGAGACGCATCGTAAGCAAAATCAAAACTTTAAGGCTTAATGAAACGAGTTTTACCTTAACTTTCAAATCTAGAGCTTGATAATAAGGATCTGTATCATATTCAAAGCAAAGTCTCTTCACCTTCCACTGCCAAAAATAAACCCATTCATAAAGACAAAACATTTTTGGTTCCTCGATGCCTAAAGTAAATCAATTTCACAAATTTTAAAACATTTCAGATTTCTCTAACCGCACTGTCGAAGAAGAAGAAAGACTACATTACCTCTTGCAAGCAACGAACCATGACTTCACCTGGTTCGCCTTTAAGAACCAGCAACCGTGAACCGAGTTTCTTCAGGCCGGAATCGAGATCCTTAAGGCTCTCCAGCAAGAACCGGATCCGGTTTACCCCTGCGCGCGACGAACCGGGAGAGAACGCAGATGGATCGGACTCCATGTAATGCGGGTCGATCACAAAAACCGGATACAGAAATTCGGAGCCCTTTGAGGCGTACTCAAGAGCCGGGTTATCGTGAACCCGGAGCCCTTTCCTGAACCAAATCAATGAACCGGATCCAGTAGCCATTGATTTTATGGGATTGAGACGATAACTTGAAGGTGAACAGACAGAGAATCGTCGCATAGAAATTGTTCGATACTTCTCCAGAAAACTTTTCTGGCAAATTCGCGCCTTCTAAAACGCGCGAGGGAAGTTTATTTCATAAGAGGATGGTCTATTCTACGGTTAATATGCGTTCCTTCAACTTTTATTATTGTGCGCGGTTGTCGGCGTAAGATAGAGGAAGCGTATTAGGTTATCCTCAACGGTTATAAATTATGCCACGTCATTACGGAGGAAGATCAATTTCGGAGATGTGTTCAATTTTCCAACGTTTAGTCATATTCATTAATGGAAGTACTAACTAACCTGATGAGAAATTAGTTATATATATCCACTAGTCAAACCTTTATTGCTTAATAGTGAAATTTAAGAAATAATAAAGTTTGAGATTTTCAATCGAATATAAACTTTAACATTTTGGTAATTTTCAAGTAACTTTTGGCGAACGAGATAACAAATTTGTTGACTTTTTCCATTTTTTTTAATGTCGAATTTTTATTTGTCTAAAGCCTCTAATCACATTTATGATGACCAAACTACTGCAATAGTATCTTTTTGTGTAACACATCGCAAATTAAACGTTACACTTTGTCTAAAAGTAGTTCCAAGAGTGATCAAACGGTCAACCAGAAGAAACACATTTTAAGTTCGACGAGTTATATTATTTCTGGATCGGATAATCCAACCATGACCCGATCCAATCACTCCTTGACCCGGACCGATACGTCAGACGCGAGCCGCGACGCGATCGCAGAATGGTACATAACCTCGTGGAATGTGGAAGCCTCGGCGATTTTCATACGCAGTTGCTTCGCTTTCTCCTCCGTGAGACACCATCGCTGAGATCTCTGGTCAGTTTGATTCAGATCTGATTCTCGATTCGCGGAGGAGGAGCTACCGTTATTGTTCACGTAATCTGGTTCAGATGATAAACCGAAAATAGGAGCCCACCACGAAGCCGACGAAACGGATTTCTTCCGGATCGGATCCGGGTTCGATGATGCTCGGATCGAAGATATTGCGGAGCAGGAGATTATTGTAGCCATTGTAGATCAAATGCAGATAAATTGAGAAAGAGACTGGGAATATTTGGAAAGAAGAGAAAGATGATTGATTTGGAAAGTGAAATTAGGGTTTGGATTAGGAATGATAATGGATTAGATAATTCGGAGTGGTTTTTATAGTGTGTGCGTCTGTTTTTATCTACAAAAGGGTATTATGGGAAAGAGTGTTACAACGTTAAAAGCGGTGGTGCAACACGGTAGTTAAGGTGGAGATGAGCGCATTGGATTGTTATTTGTTTTTGGAGTTGTGGATAAGATTGAAGGCGTGGAGCTGACCAGCGTTTGCCAATTGGGAAATGTCTCTATCTGCACTTTTTGGCTTTTTTTAATTTATTTTAGTTTTTATTACGATATACAGTACTATTACGATATAGAACTCTAATTTGTTGTGTTGGATATATTGTGTGCGACTTGTCTCTTTGACAATGTCCAAGTTGACATATGTTCATTGGAGTGGTGGTATTATTCAATTATTTTTCAAAGAAAATGAGAGTTTTTAATCAGATTTTTTTTTTTTTTGTCTATATAGTTTTCGGGAATCGGGGTTAATCGTTGGTGATGAATGATGATATCGAATATTTCTCTTCATTCAAACAAATGAACTATTCGTGCTAGAGACCAACCAACCAAAAAACATACATGAGATTAATTTGCAATGAAGATGAGTTTGTTGTTAGTTTTACGAAGCCTGGACGTAATATAACGTTGTTGTCCGGGTCTTCGTGGCCCAATGGTAAGGTCGGGCTCTGGTTGCAAACACAATCCGGGTTCGAACCCTGCTAGAGGGAACTACCTCACGAATTTCCGGACACCCACATGGGTATGGGTCCTTACTTTCGACCCATTTGAAAACCCGGATGAGGGCCTACCGATGGATTGTCCTTTCCCCAGGGGATTAGTCTGGGCCTATTGGGCTTGGGATTACCCCTAAGTTATCAAAAAAAAAAATATAATGTTGTTTCGGGTTCATGCCTCGTAGTATTTGGGACGAAGATGATGTAAAGAAAGTGTTTCTAGTTACTCAAAACAATTTGTGCCACGCGGGTGTGAAGTGGTTAATGAAGCGGTTCTCTCTTTTGTTCTTTCTCGCAAAAACTGTAGATGACATTATTTACGAGGTTTACAAATTAGCTTCACGTGGAATGGCTTATGACAATTACGACGAGGACTCGAGATTTTAAGAACTGCGACAACAAGACAAATTTTTGAGTTTGGTTGTTATTACGGGGTCGGTTTGTGTTAGACTCATGGGCCTTGTGTGTGTTGGGTTGTATGTTAGCTTGGGAGTCAAGTAAATTGTTTAGGGTTTCTTTGTCTTATATATATACACATGTATAGCCGTCAATGAAGGACAGGAAGAACTTGTTCACATCTTTGCATCTTTACATGGTATCAGAGCATAAGATCAAACACTTCTGCTGAAATTGTTCGATAGTTTCGATCTTCTTTTTCACTTTCTGGTTCGATAGTTTCGGTCTTCTCTTTAGTTAAGAGTTAAAACTTGTTTGAAGATGTCCGAGGAAGCAAACAGAGTCGCCGCGGCTGGAGCAGCAGCTAGGGCTTTGGTTCCTCAACGGACG